CCCCAAAACCCCAAAACCCCAAAACCCCTTAATTGAAATTTGCTTTGTCATAAGAATATTTAATTATAATATATCTATTTATACTATGGAAAATCTTTCTTATTTTACCTTGAATAATGGACAAAGCCTACCCAAAATTGGACTGGGTACTTTTCAAATGAATAGCAAAGATGCAGTAGTAAATGCTGTCAAGAACTTGGGGTACAGACACATTGATACTGCTTGGCTATATTAAAACGAGCAAATTATCGGTGAGGCTTTGCATGAAATACTCAATGATGAGTCATGCAAAATTAGCAGAGAGGAAATATGCCTAGTCACAAAGATCTGGCCCACTTAATTCCAAGATCCTGAATCAGCTGTCAAAGAGTCATTGAAGAAATTAGGTGTAGATTATATTGATGTCTATCTTATTCATTGGCCTACTTAATTTGCTGATCCAAGCACCAGAGTCCCTCTTCATGTTCTCTGGAAAACTCTCGAATCCTTTGTAGATTAAGGGCTGGTGAGAAGCTTAGGAATATCAAACTTTAACTTATAATTGACTGCAGATCTTTTAACCTACGCAAAACATAAACCTGTCTGCAATCAGGTCGAACTGCATCCTTATTGCAATCAAAGCTAACTTGTGAAGTTTCTGCTAGATAACTAAATAGTTCCAGTGGCTTACTGTCCTTTAGGCAGACCAAGCATAGCTGCTGAGCCTGGCTAGTAAGAGGTATCGCTTAAGTACACAAAAGTCCCAGATCTCAGACAAGATCCTAAAATTATAAGCATGGCTACTAAATACAACAAATCTGAGTTTTAAGTTGCACTAAGATGGAATACTCAAAGAGGGTGTGGTGTTATCCCTAAGTCAGCTAGCTCTGACCATTAAAAAGAGAATTTAGAGATAAATGATTTCATCTTAGAGGAGGAAGACATGATCTATTTGAGCAGTTTAAACTAGAACTTGAGAATTTGCAACAATTTTGAATTTCTTAAGGGCTATGATATATTTGCTTGATATCCTTTCAGATGATAGTTTTAAGTATTTCTTTTATTATTTAATGAATAGGTTATTATAAAAATTAACATATTAAATCAATAATGCTTAATCTTTAATTTCATTAACCCTTATTAAGCAATATCTAATGTTCATTCATCATCTTACTCTATGACAACTTTATTATCCATTATATCTGTTTTCATTTTTTTAAGAGTTAGCTGTAATCTCTTCTGACTCTCACTGTTCTCGTTTTTAAAATCCGAAGTGCCATTTCTAGACTTGCTTTGATCACTAATCACACCTCGAGATGCTTTATTATTGCTTTACTGACTTTCACTGCTATTTGTGAAAGGATTATCATTTGATTAGAGATAGTATTAGCTTTTGAGATTTTTATTATTTTAACTAGTAATATCCTCAAGGAAGAAGTTTTATTAGACCGATTCTTGTGGTCGAAAGCCAGTCATACTTTTAAAGGGATCATTTCTTCTAAGACTTGTAGGGGAGAATAATGGTGAGTCATTATGAATGCCACTATTCTCGGAATCATCTATGCTTCCCGAAATGTGTTCAGATTCTGTTTCTACTGGCTTTCGACTGTTATGAGCTGAACTGTTTTAGGATTCCTTCTCGCTCAAATGATGCATATTCATCTTACTCTTTACATCAATCAATGGTATTTTATTCATAGTACATGAACTTATTACACTTTAATTTACTTATACACCAAGTTTAAAACTCGCTTTAACCTTTTAATATTGTGATACTCTCTGATACTAGGGCTCAAATTATTCCTTACTATCTTCAGATGAGAACAAATTATAGAAGATTATGAAATTAAAGACAATCTCCTCCACATATATGTATATCTAATGATCATTTTAAATAGACGCTTTGCTCAACTAAAAGTTTATGAATCTAAAAACCAGATAATAAATAGTCCTAGACCACAATAATAGAGTCATTAGTATGAAAAAGATATGCATCTATATTTAAAGTTTATATATGTTTAGATTACCTTTAATTCCACTTTCTTCCTAGTCTGTTACTCAAGATGACTGAATTACCATATAATCATTCCGTATATGGCTACATACATAAGGCAAATTACGATCCCAAATACTGCTAACAACACAGTAAAAATACTAAAATAATTATTAAAGCTAATTACTAAAAGAGTGACATCATCACAGCATTGTCTTCATTGTATGTTTAATTTATGGAAACAAAGACAGTATCAGCAATCAAGAATATAATAAATGCAAATGATACTCCGTACAAAATAGTATAATAAGGCCCTTTATCAATAATTATTCCTCTCACACTGCTTCTCATAGTATCATGATTACAGTCAGCAAGACTTTGACTCAATACAGCCCATATTTATAGCCTGTTTTGAATTATTTTATAAGCAAAAATTATACAACTTACCATTGCATAGCGACTATAAATGCAACAATATTAAACAAATGATAGGGGAACTCAAAGTATAAATACTAGTAATATTCTCCATAGATGTCCGATTCTTAGTCTAGAATTGATTCATTGTTGATAGCTTAATATAATGTAAGTAGAAACCTAACTATTAAGAATTAAAATCTCGAATCATTTCATTGATACTTTGATGCAATTCTCATTTTATAAAGTAATTTAAAATTCAAAATGTCAGACTTACAGAGAAGACAGCTTGTTAAGAGGAATATGATCATTATGATTACGTTTTCTTTTTTTCGTAGCTATCTGATGAACATATAAATATTGATGGCCATAGATATGGCAAATAAAACAAGAAATACTATATCGACAGCTTGATTGTAAGCCATTGTAAATTAATTAAATTGACTTTATAATAATTTAACTCAATTTTTATAAATCATTAGATTATTCTTGATGGGGTTTTGGGGTTTTGGGGTTTTGGGG